GGTTGCGGTACCCTCTCGCAGTGAGTGGCAGGGCCTCCCTCTGCAGCCGGCGGAGCAGGCGAGGGGCCCTCCAGGCAGGGAGAAGGGCCAGAGCCCCACTGATGCTCAGGAGCAGGGGGCAGCTAATGCCCGGCCCCGCCTTCCTGTCTCAGCTCCTACCCTTCTATAAGCGCAGGTGACCCGACCTGTGTGCTCTCTAGCAGGTTCGTCCTTGTAGCTACGGCCGCGTTGGAGGGTCAGAGGGGGCACTTTTAATATTTCCTAATAGCGTGCTGTGAATGTGCCACAGACTAAGTACCGGGCATGATCTCATCACAACATGTTTACACATTTTCTAAAACAAAAAAGAAACTGAACAATTAAAATTAGAGCGGTGCCAGGAAATAGAGCCGGAAGGAAAAGAGCGCCCTGGCAGGGAAGCGCCGTTTCTTTGTGCGGGGCTGTGGCCGTGGCGCCGGACGCCACTCCTGGGCACTGGCTGTTCCTGCTGTGTTTCTCGCTCATCCTGAAGTTTCCTCCCGTTCTTCTCCAGCTGAAACGAATACAGTGGTTTTTTCCTCTTTGAGATTTCATTTACTTATTTTGTAGAGATGGAGAAGGAAGGGAAAGAGAAACATTGATGGGTCGCCTTTTGCATGCTCCCAACCCAGGCCCAACACAGGGGACCTGGCCGGCAACCCAGGCCAGTGCTCTGACCAGGAATGGAACCTTTTGCTTTGCTTTACCTCGCCCACCCACTGAGGCCCACCAGCCCCTGCCATACAGTGTTCTGTTACAATGTTTCAACCCTATCCTCGTGGTGGCTCCGGGCAGGCGCGCACCTGCGGCTTGTTTTCCATGGCGGCCCGGGGCAGGCGCGCACCTGCGGCTTGTTTTCCATGACGGCCCGGGGCAGGCGCGCACCTGCGGCTTGTTTTCCATGACGGCCCGGGGCAGGAGCGCACCTGCAGCCTGTTTTCCATGATGGCCTGGGGCAGGAGCGCACCTGCGGCTTGTTTCCCGTGACGGCCCGGGGCAGGAGCGCACCTGCGGCTTGTTTTCCATGACGGCCCGGGGCAGGAGCGCACCTGCGGCTTGTTTCCCGTGATGGCCCGGGGCAGGAGCGCACATGCAGCACATGACGGCCCGGGGCAGGAGCGCACCTGCAGCCTGTTTCCCGTGATGGCCTGGGGCAGTGGCATGCCTGTAGCGTGCGCAGACGCTGCGTGGCTGAGGAAATAAGTGTTTTTGGCTCATTTACGCCCGTGGGTTATGAGCTAACGTCTTTGTTGGGGGTGGGCTCTAAGGAAGAAGGGGTCGTTTGAGGGTGAACTGAAAGTGGGCACGTGCCCAGAGTTTCCTCCGACAGCTGAGTGGAAATCTGGATGGGGAAAGTCCTAAATGGTCCTGTAGTTTACCCTTTGGGGAAAATAACACACGAAGCCTTGGCTTGTCTTTAAAACAGTAAGAAAAGTCAGTCATGTCCTTCACATTTTGCTTGCGGGTCATGGTTCAAAAGGCAGCTTTCTCTGAAAACGTCCTTCTGACGACCAGCCCACTCCCAGAAGGGAGACAAGGAGGTTTTTCTCTGTTCCCCGTGAGAGAGGGCCTGGGTCGGACGCCGGAAACTCCCAGTGCGCCCTTGGGCCCCCCTTCCCTGGGCCTCAGTTTCCTCATTTGTAAAGCTGGGCTAGGATGGCGGGGTTTCATGGTTCCCAAAAGTCCTTGGGGCTCCGATGGCCAAGGGCTTCCAGTTACCAAATGGCCTTCAGGCCACGACAGGTGACGCAAATGTTTCCGGTTAAGCCAGTGAACAGAAAACCAGAGGGGAGCCAGGCCCCCAGTAGGGGGTGCACGAGAGGCAACCCCACATGGATGTTTCTCTCCCTCTTCTTCCCTCCCCCTTTCTCTAAAAATAAAATCTCTAAAAACAAACAAACAAAAAAACAAAACATCCCAGAGGGGACAGCTCTGAAGGAATTCTGGGAGCGAAGCTCTTCTGCACCTGTGTCCCCTTTGCACGGTCACTGCTCCGGGGCACCGCCCTCTGTGTCCCCAGACTTAGTCGCTGGCCGCAGACACTTTCATTGGTCTTTGGGGAAGATTTGTGTTCAATCCGATGAGTCCCTGGACCTGGTTCCCCTGAGTCACGCTCAATAGTGTTCATGAATCCCGGGCGCCATTTTTGAACATCTCACCTGTGTCCCGTGGGGCGAGGCCGGCCCTGGGCCCTGTCCTCCCGGAGGAGGGGCCTTCTCTCCAGGGGCCTGCTGGGCGGGACAGAAGCCTCAGTCTGACAGCCACTGCGCGTGTCCCCGCGTCAGGGAGGTCGGGCGCGGGCCGGCCTCTCACGGGAAGTGCCGAGTCGCCGGCTCCCGAGCGTCTGCTGCACCAGGGACGCTAAGCCTTCCTCTGGCCCTGGGGTGTGAGAAAAGCTTTCCCGTCTGGGGTTTCTGTGTCCAGGTGTCTGCGCTTTTGTGGTTTTTGGTTTGGGCACAGGTTCCCGGCTGGCCCTGGCTCTGGGGTCACTCCCAGCACAGCCGTGTCTACCCTGAGGTTACGCACAGGTTTACGAAAGGGGCCTGTTTTTTAACACGTAACCGTTAACCCATCTTCGATTTCCCTTTCAAGTAACAGACATGCTATTTCACATAAACACAGAAAGCGCATGCGTATAGGCAGGCACAGAGGCGCCTGCTGAGACTCCGCTGACAAAGTGTCCTGAGGAGGCACAGGGACAGGGACAGCAATCGGGTGGGAAGCACAGCAGGTCCAGGGCCTGCCGGGCGGTGCTGACGGTCTGGCAGGTGCACCGGAAGTGGGGACGTGGGGGAGGTCGCTGCCCTTGCAGGCTGGCACCAGGTGCCCTGCCGGCTGCTTCACATCACAGGGTCTGCCCTGACCGGCCCCCCCGGGGGCTCAGCCAGGGGCAGGCTGACCCACGTTTACATGGGACTCCTTTTCGGAGGGGAAAGCGTGTAAAAGCATAGACTTCAAAACCACTCACATCTGTGTCCCGAAGGGCATCAGGACAGAAGGAGTGGGCCTGGAGAACCTCCCAAGTGCATGGTCTTGGGCCTGGCGGAGGCTGGGGCGGAGCAGGCGGCCCCGCTCCACGGGCTGAGGCTAAGCCACTCGGGAGGCAAAGCCCCGGGCCTGAGCCTCGTGCTGGCCAGGAACGGGGCCTCCCCCGGCCCTCTCTGGGCCTGGTTCTGGGACACCAGTGGCTGCACTTACTGCGAGCCCCCTTGTCCCCATGGGGGGGGGCCCTCCTGCCCTGGCGGCTCTCCCTAGTCCCCCCGAGACGCCCGCGGGTCAGGGCTCAGAGGCGGCCAGGCCTAACGGGGCAGGTCAAGCTCGCCGGCAGCAGCAGGGGGCACAGGGGACGGGACTCAGGAGGCCAGCCCTGCCTCTCCCGGGCCCCGGGCACGCTCACCATTGCCTTTGGGGCTCTCTCGGGGTCCACCTCCAAGGTGGCAAACGTGGAGGTCCCTCCTGCCCGAGCCCCTTCGGGAGCCCCCCCGCTGGCCGCGCCCCACCCCTGGCTCTGTTCCCAGGCCCCCAGGCCCGCCCTGGCTGCCACTCCCGGCACAGCCCCCACCGCCCTCCCCCAGCTCCCCCAGCTCCGGAGCAGAGCGAGTGACCAGTACATACTCCCAGGCCTCTCCCTGTTGGGTCTTCAGGGGACAGGATGGCAGGGGCCGGGGAGGCCTCCGTGTGGTTCCCAAGGAGCATGGAATGAGGGCCACTGCAGACCAGGTGTCATGGCTTCCTGGCCTGGCCACCCCCACCTCCCGTGCCTTTAAGCCCCTGTCTCACTCACGGTCCTGCCCAGGCCTGACCGGCTCCGGAGCTGCCTGTGACGCCCTCCCCCGGCCACCCTCAGCCCTGGGCGGTCAGAACTCTGGGTCAGCAAGCAGTCCCATCTTGTGTCCCAACGTCGCGCGTCCTGGCTCCCCCGCGGCCCCTCCGGTGCGCTCTCCACCGGCGTTCAGCCCCGGGGACCCCACCTGCACACCAAGCCCTGGAGGGGGCCCCTCGTTTACCCGCCTGGACACTTGCATTTTCACATTTCAGGTCTGCAAACTGAAACGATGATTCCTCATGGTTTCAAAGTGGCATTTGGCTCCCTGCGCCTCCTAAACCACAAGCCATTGCCTGTTCCCCAACCCTGACAGGAGGCAGATGAGACCCCTGGGGCTTGTTTTCTTGTCCCCTGTGCTCTGCAGGACAGGTGGATGCATGTCTAGCCACATGGGGCCACGGTCCCAGACCCTGCTGCCCAGGCACTTCCCTGCAGACAGGGTGCCCACATGTGCAAACGCTGACCCACCAGGTGGCACGCTGGGCAGAGGCCCGCCCTCGTCCCAGGCCCGCCTTCCTGAACCCCGGGGAGGGTGGCCTGGCCCGCGGGGGCGTCATGAAGCCCCAACATGGAAGATGGTGGCCTGGCGGGGCAGCTGGCACCTCTGCCACCCTCTCCAAACTACACGCCCATGTAACAGCCCATCTCCCCAAAGCTCGAGCACCCTGAGGGCAGGGACCTGTGTGCTCCGGGGGCCTGGGGATGTCTGGAAAGTGCCGCACCGGGGACAGCACGTGCGCACGGAGCACATGGCGGAACGCAGAGGTCCGAGCCCCGTCCTGCCGGAACCGGAGTTTCCTTCTGTCGGAACCAGGCTGTCTGCTTTGTCCGGTCCCACTAGATGGGATCTTCCGAGTGGTCACCCTGTCACCTTGGGTCACAAAGCAGCTCCCGAAACCAGGCAGCGGGGAGGCAGCCCAGCCAGGGGCTCTCCGGGTCGAGGATAAAACTGCCCTGGTTGAAGAACCTAACCTGCAAAACCCCGACTTCCAGGTGGACGCACAGTGGGACCGCGGGGACAAGTGTGCTTCCTGGCCGGTCCTTCCTGGCCAGGCCTCGGCGGGCAGCTGCTCAGAGTGTGACCGGCAGCGGGAACGCAAGGCTGGGAAGACTCAGACGCACGAAAGGCCACAGCCAGGGACGAAAGGGCTTCCCAGCTTAGGAACAGGCCTGGCCGCCGCTTTTATTTGGGAGGAGAGCAGACACGCCCCGCGGAACGGCCTGTCAAGCCGGCCTAGCTTCTGGGGGCGGAGGGTCTGCGGGACCCCGGCGCTCGGCGCCCTCCTGGCTCTGCAGCCGATACAGGGCCTCGACCTGCCTGCGCCTGTCCTTGGCCCGGCTGATGGTGACCCGGAAGAGATGGCAGAAAAGCCGGACGGAAGGGGGCGAGTCATCGTTGCCGGGCACAGGGTACGTGATGAGGCAGGGGTTGCAGTTGGTGTCCACGATGCCCACCGTGGGGATGTTCATCTTGGCCGCGTCTCTCACGGCCACGTGGGGCTCAAAGACGTTGTTGAGCGTGTTCAGGAAGATGAGGAGGTCCGGCAGGCGGACGCCGGGGCCCAGCAGGAGGGGCGCGTTGGTCAGCAGGCCGCCCTTGAAGTAGCGGGTGTGGGCGTACTCGCCGCAGGCCCGGGCCGTGTTCTCGATCAGGTGCGAGAACTGCCGATTGCGGCCCACGAACAAGATGATGCCCTTGCGATAGGCCACGTGGGCCGTGAAGTTCAAGGCCAGCTGCAGGTGCGCGGCGGTCTGATCCAGGTCGATGATGTCCTGGCCCAGGCGGCTCCCGAAGATGTAGGGCTCCATGAACCTGCCAGAGACCCCACCCAGGCGTCAACAGGGCTCCTCCCTGTCCTCTGTGGGGGCACCCTCTCCCCATGACGACAGACGGGGTGAGGACCCTGTCCTGTGAGGGACGCCGGGGCAGCTGGGGGGCGGGGCGGGGCGGGGCGGGGCGGGGCGGGGCGGGGCGAGGGCTGGTCTGGCGCGCAGGCCGCGGCTAAGCCTTAGACAAGCGGCTTAGCCTTGGAACCTGGGCCTCGTCATGTGGGGACCCGAACACAGCTCATCCCCACGTGGACGCCTGGATGTTTCAACGTGAGGTCACAGCCACTTTTGTCACATCATCCGTTTGGAGGGTTTATGACAGAGGCCTCCTGCGGCAGGGCTGAGGGACCAGCCGAGCAGGGGGGTGCCCCAGGCTGCAAGTGTGCGGGGTCGGGTCAGATGCCAGCCAGGCCTGCGGGGGGACGACCTGAGGGCACAGAGGGCCAGTGGGGCAGGAGAGACGGGCCAGCGCAGATGACGGGTCCCTCGCCCTCCCCTCCACTTCAGCCTGCTCCACCTGGCTCTTGTCCCTTCCCACGAGCAGACGGCTGGAGGCGCCCCAGTCCCATCTCCCTGGGCCACGATGGAGCGCCCCCCGCCCCCCGCCTTGCTCCCGCCGGGACGCCTCTCGCCCCAGGAGCTCTCAAAACGCCCCACTGATGGGACGGCCCAAGCTGCTCCCTCCCAGCTCCCACGTGACACTGGCACTGGGGTGACCAAGGTGTCACCCCTCACAGGACCCCAGCTCCTGACGTCCCCCAGGCCTCCCCTCGTGCCGGTCGTCTTGGAAGAGGCCACCGAGGTCTGCAGTGCACTCTGTGTCCCCCCAGCCCCAGCCCCGCCCCCTCGCGTCCACCTGCTGTTCCAGCTCTTCTGCCCCAGGGGCCAGGCCCCTTCCCCGCTGGCCTCCCACCTGCCCCTCCAGGCCCCCGATCCACTCCCCATGCAGCCGGCACACTGACCACGCGGGAAAACCAGGCCAGTCACTCCTCCGCTGCGGAGCCCTGGGGCCCTCCCTCACCCCCAAGATGACCCATCGCCCCCCAGGGCGGAGTCTCGCTCCAAAGTGAGAAGAGGTGCGCGCGCGCGCACGTGGATGGAGGACTACGAGCTGAGTCTGAGGACAAGCCCCCGCTTCTCCTCGGGGCCTGGGGGGGCCCATCTGGAGGAGAGGGGGGCTGTGCGCGGGCAAACTGACACTCGCCAGTACAGAGGGGCCCTGCACCCCAGACCCCAGTGCAGGAGGGGCCCAGGACCCGGCACCCACCTGTGCCGACAGCCGGCTTTGTGTCCCAGGTGCACCCGGGCATTGAAGAGGCTCCTCACGGAAAACAGCTCCTTGACGTTGAAGAAGTCGGAGTGCTTGAGGGGCTCGCTGAGGACCCTGTCCTGGAGGTCTGGCCAGGAGGACACGGAGCTGCGTCTGTGCCCCTGCTTGGCCCACCCTCCCCCGTAGAAGTGACATGGCCTGGGGGAGGGGCGGCGAGGCGGCACCTGAAGGTGCCCAGGGCCACGGGGCCCTTTTCCGGGAACCGAGTGCAGAGGTCGGGTTCCGACCCTGGCCCTGCCGTTTTTGAGGTCCCCACGGTGCCTCCTGGGCCAGCAGAGCCGCCCAGGAGGGAGCCTAGCCCTGCCTTTACTCCCAGGACGTCCGCTGTGTCTGACCCCCACCCCCAAGGGAGGTGCTGGCCCTGCCCCTTCACTCTAAAGTGGGGGTCACTCTAAAGCCGTGTTCAGCGCGCAGCACCTAGCCCGTGGGGCTGCGGGGGGGACAGGCCCTCCCTTCTCCCCCCTTGAGCCGGATCCCTCCAGGGTTTCACAACTAAACCAATGGGCGCTCAGGACTCCTGGCGACAGGCGATTGATTTCAACCCAAAACGGGGAGGCCTGGCGCCTACCGCCCCCACCCCCCAATCTGCCCAGGGACTCGCTTTACCGTCGCTGCTCTCGGGCTCGCTCGGGGCGGGAGCCGTGGCATTTCCCAGCGTTCTGCTGCTCGGCCAAGCCGGGCCCGGGGTCGCCGCCTTGAGGATGTGCAGCCCGAGCGGCCTGGGCCGGACACCTGCGGAAAGAGCGGAGAGCTGGGTCACGCCGCGCGTCCCCGGGTTTCCTCCCGCCCCCAGGGCTCCGTGCGGCGACCTTGCAGGCCCAGGGCGAGGGTCCTGGGGAGGGGACCCTGCAGGCCTGAAGCGGGGATCCTAGGGAAACGACCCTGCAGATCCGGGGCTGGGGCCTTAGGAAAACGACCCTGAAGGCCAGGGGCAGGGATCCCCGGGAGGCGACCGTGCAGGCTTGGGGCGGGGGTCCCCGGGAGCGCTCACCCACGCTCAGCAGCCGGGTCAGGGTGCCCGCGGGCGCCATGGTGCGCAGGAGGCAGACGCGGCGCCAGAACGGCTTCTTCTTCCGCCGCGGCCCGCTGTCCCGCCGCACCGCCGCACCGCCGCCTGCAGGCCTGGAGGTGCCACTGCGCGCTCCAGCCCGGCTTCCGAGGCGCCCCGCCTGCCGCCCCCGTGGGAACCCGCCGGGCCCGGGCACTGTCCTCACCTCCGGCCAGTCTAACCCAACCTCTCGCTCCCAAAAATCCTTCTAATTTTTAAACACTGCTTGGCTTAGGGGGATTCCGCAAACTTAGGCAAGTCCGGAGTCGAAATGCAGACTCTGGGTACTGGGGGCACGGAGTTGCAAGGTCAAGGAGGACCCTCGGCGTGCACAGTGGGCGTCGCGACCCAGCGCGCGGTCGGCCCTGCGGCACCTTACGTCCTGCAGGTCGTGGGTGGAGGCCCGGCGCCCGCGTTATCCCGCATTTGGGACAAGGTCAGGACGTGACCTGTGCGCGAGAACGGCCCGCCTCGCCCCCAGCCCTCAGCCCCCAGCCTGGGTAGCCGGCACTGCAACCCCAGGAAGCGATGCTTTGTTATCCCGGCCAGCGGGGCCCTGGGTATTCACCCCGAAGGTTCTAGGTTTCGCATTCCAGCCCCGCCGGCCAGCGAGGGGGGGGGGGGGCGTGGCCCGGCAGCCGCAGCTCCTTTAAGGACCGGCCCCACCCCGTCAGGTGGTTAAGCGGTCGCTTAGCAACAGGACGCCGCGAGACCCTCGTGGCTCAGGCTGTGGGGAGACTGCTGGTTGCTTTGCCTCTCTCCCGGTGCAGCGCCCGTAGACGGCGAATGTCCGAGGAGAACCTGCGAGAGTGCGCGGAGCCCGTGGAGCCCGCGGCCCAGGCACCCCCGCTGAAAACCAGCGACTGCTACCGCGTAAGTGAGGACCTGCCGGCCAGGTTCAACAACCCGGCATGGTTCCGCGGCTACAGGTGAGGACCATAGTGGGAGTCTGCCTGGCAGACGCAGAGGAAGAGAGGCCACCTTTTCCAGCGGGCATCCAGGTGCCCGACTGGCCCTGCGTCTGTTTAGGTAGTCCTGGATGCAAGCGTCACCAGGTCCCCAGCCTGCCTGGGCGCCCAAGGCAGCTCCTCACCAAATGAACCACAGAAGTGCTGCCCAACGCTTTGGGCACACCAGTCGGTGGGCCCAGCCGGTGCCCGCGGGGCAGTGGCTGACCCCACAGAGGCCACGCACCCCAGGGCCTGGGGCGGGGGTGAGTCTCCACGCCTCTGGGGAGCCTTTGCAGAGTGTGACTCCGGCCGCACGTCCGGTGTCATGCTGAGTCAGAGACCCATGAGCTGCTGAGTGCATGGCGGACTCCCCACTCTGTCACAGGTGGGCAGCACCCTCCCCGCCTTCCTGCCTTCCTTCCCATCTACAACCCTGGAGCGACAGGGCTCTTATCCTCCCTGCCTTCCGGGGAGACCGCTGCAGGGTGGGAGGACTGGGTTGTGCCCGCCAGAGATCTCGTCGTGTAGGGCAGGGCTGGGGCGTCCGGACCCACTCGGCTGAGCCGTTCTGTTAATGGAGGCTGTACTACAGACTGCAGGCCTGGTCTCAGCGGGCTCAGAAGTGGAGGGACCCCCTGGGTGGCAGGGCCTGGAGGCTGAGCCATAACTCGGGGCCCATCCCCCTGCCTAGGAGATGGCCTTGTGTGATGGCCGGGGGGTGCTGAGACCAGCACCTGCCCCCCGAAATTCTCACAGGGGTGTCCGACCTTTTGGTGTTTCTGGGCCACACCGGAAAGATGAGTTGTCTTGGGCCACCCACTAAATACACAGACGCTAATGAAAACTGACGAGCAAAAAAAAAAAAAAACGGTTTTGAGTAAACTTATGAGTTTGTGCCGGGCTGCGTTCATGGCCATCCTGGGCTGTGTACGGCCCACGGGCCGGGGGTGGGATACCCCTGCCTGGGGCCTGGTCCGCCTGCGGAGGACAAGGGCAGAGGCGAGCAGAGGCGCCGGGGCCCGCGCTTCCTGGGAGGCCCCTTCACGGCTGCGCCTCCAACCTGGGGCGTTAGCCGCAAGGCTCCGTCAGCCAGACCCAGGGGGGCCGCGGCCCGGGCAGAATGAGACTCAACGGATGGCAGACAGAGCAGGCTTCTCCCCTGCCAGGACCAAGGAGCCCGTCTTGGTGTACAGGACCAGCAACCAGGCCTATGGCGGCAGGGCCCCCACCGTGCACGAGATGCCGGTAAGCAGGAAGTGGGGGGTGCAGGAGGGTGTTTCTGGGAGCCACCCACACGCTGGGTTCCTGCAAAGGGCAGCACGTCCCGGGGTGGCACAGGAAGGCGCAAAGCGGGAGGGGCCCCTCGGACCCCGCTGGGCTGGGGCCAGGTAGGAATGAGCACACCCATGGTGCAGCGTTTTCAGGGATGGACAAAGTGCCCGTAGACTTGCTTGCGATGTCACAAGGACACACGACCAACCTTGCAACTGAGGGCGGTCGCTTCTGAGGCAGAGAAATAAAGTCCGGTAGCTGGCCTCGCAGCGGAGCTCAGAACTGAGCCGCGGGGAGCGGCTTCGGGCGGGGCCTCAGGTGTGCGCACACCGTGCTGGCCGGCACCGACCCTCTGCCCACAGGCAGGCGGAAGCAGGCCCTGCTGATCGTGTTTCCCGGTGTGAGGCATGCGTGGGGACGGCCAGGGGCACACTAGGCTGCCCTGCCGGCCTGGCTGTCCCTGGAAGAGAGACATTTTCTTACAGATGCTTATTTCTTCCAAAAATACCTAAGGACGGACTGTTCAAAGGTACTGCCATACATTGCTGTGTTCCCTTTTCATTTCCAGAAAGTATTCTATGCAACTTCGAATAAATTTTCCAGAACACTAGCAGCAACTGGAATGTTCCGGAACAATTCTCTCAACGTCTACATGGAGAAGAGCATTGTGACAGGTGCCGACAACCACGTCACCTCCTTTGACCGGCTGAACTTCCATCCGAGCTACAACGTCAGCAGGCCGTCCATCTGCAGTGACTGAGGGGCGGGGCATCCCCGCCCCCCAGCACGGCCACCTGGGGAATTGTCACCACCCACCTCGACTTTGATGACTTGCCCAGCGGTGAAGGTACTGAATTCACTGCTTTCCTTCAAAACATTTTCCTCTCTAGTGTAGCAAAGTGCGCGAACGGGGCTGTGCCGTGCCACTTTCTCAGCTGTCGTCTGCGATGGAAGGGCGCCGAAGCCTTGAACGTGCATTAAAATATTGCCACGTCCTGAGCTCCCGACTCATCTGTGGTCAAGGAGCAGGTCCGGGGGTGTCCGGGGACCCGCCTGACGCCCTGGGCGCCGTCCCCCTGCGTCTCTGTTGGGGAGCCTTGTTTCCACTTGTGACTGCTCAGCCGCGGAGGGAGGACAGGGTGCCCTGCCTGGGGCAGGCGGAGCGGGCAAGGGAGGGGTGCTGGGAAGCGCCCGGCAGGGGCAGGCCGGCGGGCGGGCCCTGTCGGTCCCCACGCTGCCGCAGAGGACATGCTCGGAGTGCCACTGAACATCCTCCAGCCCCGAGGATGGGGGTGGGGCGGGAGGCCCAGTGCCTGAAACAGCGGTTCCCGCTGGAGGGGCCGATGCCCCCGTGCAAGTCCCTGCCTTTGTGTTCATTCTAAACCTTCAGCAGAAGGTGGGGACAAAGCAGCCGGGAAGAACGGTTCTCCCGGGGGGGGGGGGCGGCGGCTGCTGCAGTGCGTGGCTTTCTATCTCCGCGTCCCTAGTCCCCAGGTGGGGTTTCCCAGGAGTCGGAGGCCTAGCAATGAGAAAGCTGCTTCTGTGACCGTCCGCGTCTTTCAGACGTAGGGCCGCCTCCCTCTGGAGACAGGCTCCTTCGGTGTGGAAACGAGACGGGAGAACCCAGTGCTGCGGACCGCCCGGCGGCTTGTCTTCAGAGGCTTCCGCCCAGAGAGATTTTACTCACGTGTGAATCTGGGGAGAAATTAACCGCCAACTGGTTATTTCGTCATAGACCTTTTGTTGCCCTGGCCCGGTCGCGCGGTTGGTTGGAGCATTGTCCCGATGGGACAAGACTGTGGGTTTGGTTCCTGGTCGGGGTGCGTGCAAGCAGCAGCCTATGAATAAGGGGAACATCAAATCAGTGTCTCTCTCTTTCAAATCAATACATAAAAAATATAACACAACAAAAAACCCTTTTGTTATTAATACACAAACACTTCGGCCATGTTCTACGTGTCCACTTTAGAAGGAAAATGGTTTCCAGAGAAAATCGATACATTTCATAAAAAGACAGGAAGGCCGGGGCTCTGCATGTCTCCTCGGTTGGGAGGCCGGGGGAGACCCGGCGTCCACCTGGAAATCTGCTTCCACAGCCCTCGTGAAAAGCGCCACGGCGCGCCTCGGCCGGCGTGGCTCCGCGGGTTTGGCGCCAGCCCGCAGAGCGGAAAGTCGCCGGTACAATTTCTGGTCAGGGCACAGGCCTGGGTTTTGGGTTTGGCCCCAGGTTGGGGGTGTGGATTAAAGGCAACTGATCGATGTTTCTCTCCCTTTGTCTCCCTCTAAGATAAAAAATAAAAATAAAAACACTAAAATACTAAGGATTCTTCTGTGTTTAGCCTCAGAAGAAATGAAAAAGAAAAGAATGCCTACCAACCTAGGTTTTAAACTCACCGGGAAGGAGGAGCCCTTCTCTAGCCGCTGACTGGAGAGCCCACTAGCATCTCCGGGGGTGGAGGGGTCCATAAAGCCCGCAGCTGAACGGCTGGTTCTCCCACCTTAGGCGAGGTGAGCACCAGGCAGCTTTCCCCAAGCCAAGTGCAGAGGAGGGACCACTGGGCTTGGACAAAACCCCGGTTCTCAGCGGCCGCCGGGCTCCCCGGAGCTGGGCCAGGGGTCCACATGCGACCAGGATGGAAAAACAACGGGGCCCCTGGGAGGAAGCACACGTCTTCCGGACCCTGGGTGGGCAAAGGCTTCCTAAAGGAAAAGGCTGATGAGTTAAACTTTGTTAACATTGAGATGTATCTGTTTTTTAAAAAAGATTGATTTATTTTTAGAGAGGGGAAGGGAGGGAGAAAGAGAGGGAGAGAAACATCAGCGTGTGCTTGCCTCTCATCCACCCCTTACTGGAAACCTGGCCCACAACTCAGGCCTGTGCCCTGACTGGGAATCGAACCAGCGACCCTTTGGATCACAGGCATCACAAAGCGAATGGGGGCATCGTAATTGGGCACTGCAACGCCTTGACTGGTCGTAGCTGATAACTAACATTTCTGTAACAGGTGCTACTGTGTGTCAGGGAAGTCAGGCTCTGGACGTTTATTCTTAAGAGTGAATGTTCGGAAAGGCGGACCACAGAAATGGCTGTGGCGCACTCGCTCGCCTTTCCCAGGCACACTCACTGGTGTCCGTCTCTGGCTCTCGCCGCCAGTACCCACACTGCGGCGCCTGCGCCCCAGGAGCTGTCCCCTACGGTTCTCAAAGGCCTTTGCGGCTGTCACCTCCACGCCCACCTGGGGCAGGTCTTACTCCCGCACCTCCATTTCCGGGTGGGAAAATGAGGGTCCAAACGAGGTGGCCGTGGGCCCGAACCCGCCCTGGGGATGTCCTGGGGGGGCGCGGTCACCAGCCCCCGACCTCACTTCCGGGCCCTGACGTTCCACGCCTTTGCACCAGTCATACAGAGACTCGTGATCACAGATGTCGTCAATTTTTATTCTGTTTACCGTATTTTTCAAACTGGAATCTCTGTGTACTGAGTTCTTTCAAAATCTTCGGTTGGAACAATTACAGAAAACGCCATGGAAACATTCAGCATGACAGAGCCCACAGGACATTCAAGGTCATGGCTATTCCTGGAAACCTCTCTCCACCCGCGAGTAGGTGTTTCTTTATCTGGCCTTTTATTCCACCCTGAAAGGAAACGCTGACAAATCAAGTTTCATAACACTTTACTAATCCCTTAATTTAGCTGCCAGGTTGGCTTAAAACCAGTAACGTCTTACTCTCAAAGCATATTTTTACTTACACTTGGGTATTTTTCTTCAGTAACCTTTTATCTGTTAATTATAGTCAATTAGGGCAAGAAATTTCAAATATATCGTAAAATAGAGCCACACCGAAAGAAATCCTCTGTCCAGCACACAAAACGCCGGAAGCCTCAAAGTTTCTGCGTAGGATGTCCCACGCCCCTCCCCCAACTCCTCCTCCCTGCTCGCCCCCCACCCCGCCCCCTGGCCTCCTGTGAGCCTGGCCGTGGTTTGCGATGGGGGGAGGGGTTGGTTCTGCTTCGCCCTCTCATCAGGCCCTTCAGGTAACTTCGAGGACCTGCCTCCCCAATGTGAGCTCATGTCAGGTGCAAAACCGGCCACCAGCCCATTCCGATTCCAGCCTTCCCTACAGAAGACCCTCCGTGCGGGGGTGGGGTGAGCACCCCACACAGGCCGCCGGGGCTTTTGCCTCCTCCCAATGCCAGTCCTGTTCCGCCCACCCCTGACCAGGCCAGGGGACCGTTCCGGCGGACACTGTGACCCCCGTGGCCCCCCAGGGTGCCGACGCCTTTGACGTGGGGTCTGTCCCGCCCCTTGCGCTGAAGGAAATGCAGCCAGGCCCAGGCGCGCAGGCCCCCTCACCGGGCTCTCTGGGGGTGACTTGTCTCTAGGTCTCCACAGTCACAGCTGAATTGAATCACATCGTCCACCCAGACCCTCTTTCACTAGTGGGGGCGCATTTGGCATCTCGGGAGCAGCCCCCGCGAAGCTGCTGTATGGGCTGCAGGTCAGGCCCGGAGCCGGGGAGGCGAGTCAGAAGCCGCGGACGGGCGTTCGGCCGTGGTCCTGCCGCAGCCCCCTTTCTGGACGGGGCCCTGGGGGGCCTCCGACCTCGGCCTTGGCCTGCGCAGCCGGTCCAGGGTGGAGGCACTAAGGCCTTCATCCCCGGGGGCTCCTTGGCCGCCTCGGGGACGGGCCGGCACACCAGGCGTCTGTCCGCTTTGTGCAAACAGGCCGGGCGGGGCTCCGGGTCGCGGAGGTGGTGGGAGCTTGGGGGGGCGGGTCTGGCTGCAGGGGGCGGGGTGCTCGGCGTGGATGGCACCCACAGCTCCGGCGGGACACAGGTCCCCGCCACGGGGCTGCCCTGCAAGGGAAACACTGCAGACACTGACTTGCGAGCAGCACTTGATTTACTGGCATTAAAAAACCAGTTCTCACATAGAAAAGATGCCGATTCTTGTTTTTGGGTGTTCAAGGCACGCCTTAAAAATTAAGTAAAACTTAAAGCACAGATCACGTGACTTGTTTCTTCCAGAAGCCCTGGAGCGAGAACTCGACAACATTGATCTCCAGGGCCCACCAGGCAAGCACTGTCAGATTCCCGGGCCCGCTCGGCTCATCACGGCGTGTGACCGGGCAGATGCTGGCTGCGGTGCGGGCACAGGTCCCCGTTCAGTCACGGGAGCGGGTCATGGCCAAAACCCGGGGGCGCGGGACCTGCAGGAAATGCCCTTGCATGTTGGAATCCCAACTACACCCAACTGCAAAGTACGCCGTGTCCCTGGGCCATCGAGCCAAGCTGTGACTGAGAGTTCTGAAACACAAGGCCCTCGATGACAGTCTGCCCGGTCAGGGCCTGGCCTATGGGACACAGCTGTCCTTCCTAAGTCTACGGTCACCACGGGCCCCCCCGGACAGCATGGGAGCAGAAGGCCCAGCACGCCCCGCTCCCTGCTTTCTAGGGCCGACACCGAGAGCGCCAGGAAAGGACCAGGACCCCGGCCATGGCCGAGCCAGCCGCTGGACACGGCCCTCATCCTGCCATGGGAGGCGAGGGCACGGGGCTCACGGGGAATGGGACGCTGGCATTTAGGATGCACAAGCTGCCTGTCACCTTGCAGGGCGGTGACTGAAAACGAGGACCAGGGGCTCCCGTGTACAAAGAGGTTTATTGAATTGTTAGAACCATGTAGCCACTGAACAGGACGGGACGAGACAATGGGGACCCTCCGGGGGCTGGGGGGACCTGCGGGAGCTCCCTCCTGGGACGTCCACGTGCACCGGGAGCAGCTGGCGCGCTTGCTGGCATTTGTGCTTTGATGTTTCTCTGGCTGAAGGCTCGGCTGCAATGTCCAGGGGACGTGCCCTGGCCTCTCGGTCCAGGGTCCCTTACAACAAGCGACGTCCAGGGGCCTCCGGACAGAGACCTCGGGGGTGTCACCGCGGCCCCCTCAGCACAGCCGACGTTTCCCCTGCGGCCACCCCAGAGTTCCAGTCTGAGTCGCCTGAGCCCGTGCCGGGCAGGACAAGGCAGCACTGTGACAGGGACCGCCATCAGGGACGCCCTACAAAACCAGACACCTCTATTTCCCAAAAATAGTTTTTACAGCACTTTAAATAATTTACAAAAAAGCTACAAAACTCATTTACCAGGACACACGTGTTAAATAGGGCCACCGCTTCCCGTTAGTGTACATATGTACAGGGCGGCGGCGGCAGCTCCCGTCCCCCTCTGCCCACCGTGCCGCCTGCCCACGCGCGCGCCGTCCACACGCACGCCGGCGCCCGGCCGCGAGCTCACAGCTTGAGGGCTTTGCCTGGGGCCACGGGGCCGCCGTCCTCCACCGAGGTGTCGCTGAGCTCGCTGGCGTCGCTGCCCCAGGCCTCCTGGCCCTTATCGCCTCGATCCACCCTCCGCCTGTACCTCAGGTCCAAAATGTCCTCGTCGGATCCCGAGTTCCTGCTGTCGTGGAAGCTGAGCGCCGCCGGAGCCTTCCTCCTGGGCCAGCGCCCACCCTCCTTCTTCACGAGCAAGCGGGAGCTCCCGAACACGGGCCCGGGGCCGCCCGGGGCCTCCCTGAAGGCCGAGAAGGCCGGGCCCTGCAGAGGCAGGCTCAGGCCGGGGCTGAAGAGGCCCGCCGGCTTGGCCCCCCAGGAGACGCTGTTCCCAAAGTGGAATAACTGCGTGGAGAGCAGCGGGGAGAAGCCAGCGAAGGGCAGGCCCCTCTTCGGGTCCGTGGCGAGGCCGGGCGCGCCGCAGGCCTGGCCCTCCGCCGCCTTCCCCCTCTCGCCCCCCAGGCCCGCCTTCCAGGCTGCGCCCTTGCCTTCCGAGCTCAGCGCCCACGCGCCCTGCAGCCGGCTCTGGTGGGCAAAGTCGCCCCACGGGAGGGCGAGGCCGGCCTGGGGCCCCCCCTCCCTGTCGGCTCCAGGGCTCCGAGCGAGCGTGCTCCGGCTCCGAGGGGCTGCCGGCGAGCTCCCACCGAGGCTTCTGGCCGAGGCCCCCGCTTCCGCACAGCTGGACAGCTGACTGAAAGCGCTGTCCCCGGCAGCAGGCACGGCGCCTCGTGAGCTCTGGTCCCTGTGAGGACAGAGGCCCCTCCTGCCTGTGGGTGGCCCTCGGGCAGACCCAGTCTCGCTGGTGCTCCTGGGGGGTGCCCGCTGGCCCCTGGACAGGGCAGCGGGCAGGCAGGCCTGCTCTGTGTGGGGGCCGCCCCTCGGCCCCGGGGCTGGCTGAGGCGTCCCCCGGCCCCTCTGGCTCCGTGTGCACACGCCGGGCTGGAGGGCCGGGGCCACCACCTTCCGGCACGGCGGCTCTGGTCTGGGCACGCTCCCCGGCCCGAGCGTGCTGGGACCTCCCCCGGGAACTTCCAGGCCGCTCACAGACTCCTTGGCCTTTTCGGCCAAAAACTTCCTGATCTCCAGCTCGATGCTGTCGTCACTGTCCACGGAGCTGCTGTCCTCAGACCGCGAGCTGGGGCCGGCCTCGGCCTCGCCGGGGCACCCTCGCCCTCTGCAGGCTCCCCGCCCGGACGGGAGGGCCAGGGGCACGTCCGCGGGCCCAGCGCCGCCCGGCTTTGCCCGCTCCGTCCGGCAGCAGAAGGCGCTGGAAGGTTTCCTTGGCGGGTCCCCTCTGCTGTCTCTTCGGGGCTTTGAGAGGCAGCTTTTCAACAAGGGTGGGCTTCTGTCCTTCCAGCCTCTCTGGAGGCCCCCCTGCGGGCCCGGGGCCTGTGCCTCGGTGGTGCTGAACCGGACCTTCTTCCTGCACGCTGCTCTGGGGTCCCGACACCGCTTCTTGAGCCTCCGCTTGGACCGCAGCAAATCCTTAATGGCCGTGTCCAGGTCCTCGTCGCTGTCCAGCGAGCTGCTCTTGTCCTCAGAGCTCCCCTTCCCGGGGGGGCCTGGCGACAGGCCGCCCCGCGTGTCCGGGGCCACGTGCTCGCCGGCCAGCCCGGCCGTCCTGCAGGGCAGGGGCTGCCCCCGGGCCTCGCCCTCCCTGCCAGGGGCCTCGCCGGCTTTCCCCCGGCTGGCGTCGGTGTCCGGGGCAGCCTCCTTCATCGCCTCGCTCGCCCTCTTGGGCGTGGACGACCACACAGCGGTGCTGCCTCCCCTGCGTTTCCTTTTGCGGCCCAGGGACAGGTCCAGTGTTTTAGTGACGGGGGTCTTGGGGCCCGCGGCCTGCCCGTGGGGGCCGGGCGATGGCAGCGGGCTCTGCGCGGACGGCGGGCAGGCGTCCGACCTGGCCAGCAAACTCTCCGACTGCGCCTTCAGTGCCAGAAACGTCCGGATCTCCCGCTCGATGCTGTCGTCGCTGTCCACGGAGCTGCTGTCCCCGTCTGAGCGGGAAGGCACGTCGGGGGGACGAGGCAGCGGGCTGGTGGCCAGGGGCCTGTCCCCGCCCTCCCCGGGGGCTGGCAGGATTGTTTTGGAAATGTCCAGGATCGCCTCAGCGCACATCAGCTCGGCGGACGTGTCCGCCCGGCACGAGGACCGGTCCACAAACTCGCTCTTGGCCATGGTGTTTCCTGGGGCTGCGGAGGCTTTGGTTTCCTTTGGTGGCTTGGAGGGATGGTCAGGGTCAAGGCTGCCCGGGCCGAGGTCCGTGGCCTTCGAGGCCATGGGCTTCTTCTTGCCTGGCGTTTTCCTGTGGGTTTCGGGCAAGGCACTTTTCGCGGCGTGGCTCGTGCCACGGGCAGGGGGCTCGGGCGGCTCCTCCCCCGGTGGGGCTTTCGGTGGCGGCGGGTCCCCGCTTGCCTCCTTCCTTTTCTCCAGCTGGTACAGCTGGATGGCCTCTTCGATGCCATCGTCGCTGCTGGAGTCTGACGCCTCGTGCACCGTGGCTGCGCCCCTGGCTCCCGGGCCCCGCCTCCCGGGGCCTAGGCTCCGCCGGACACCGCCCTTGCACGGGGCTTCTGCGGTTCTGCAGGTGGTGGCTGGCCTGGGCGAGCTCTCAGGCTCAGCGGAGACTTTAGACCTGAGGCTTCTGGGCTGCGCGGTCGCCTTTGCCAACCTGGGAGGTTTCCGGAAGACAAACTCCTTGCAGGCGCCGGCCAAACCCTGCCGCTGCGCCTTGACGACCGGCTCTTTGCAGGCTCGGAGCGCCGACCTGGCCGAGTTGTCGTCGGGGTCCGGCTTTTTATCCGCAGGCGCCTCCCGTTTTGGGGCCTCGTGTTGCCTTTTCTCGTTCAGAAACTGCTCTATCTCCGCCCGGATGCTCTGCTCGAAGGAGTCCTCGCTGCTGACGCTGCCTGGGGAGGCGGAGCCCGGGGCCTGGCTGGCTCCCGTGCGGCCGCCGGGGGCACCTCCCGAGCCAGGTGCGAGTTTGGGGGGACCCAGGGCGGGCGGGGCGCTGCTCTGAGGCGGCTCCGGCTTGCACATACTGTCCCCGTCGGCGGCCGTGGGCTGGACGGCCCCGCTCTTGGCCTTCAGGTACTCCTGGATGGCTTCCTCGATGTCCCGGTCCACAGAGTCGTCACTGTCTGAGTCCAGCACCGAGGGGCCGAAGTCTGCGGCTTCCCCCCCGGCCTTGGGGTCAAAGTTAGCAGCGTGACCGCAGGCTGCCGAGGCAGGGCCGGCGGCCAGCTGGGCGTCGCGTCCCCTCTGGCCTCTGTGCAGGGCGCGCTCCTGGCTCCTGCCCCGCGCGGCCCGGTCGCTCTGGAGAGAGCTGATGATCATCTGCACCCTGGCGCTCACGGCCGCGCGCCCCGCGCCCTCCGGCTCCGAGGCGCGGCCGGGAAACCTACAACTCCCCGGCAGCCCGAAGGCCTCCCACGTGGACCGGAGAGCAAGCACAGGAGGGGCGTTCATGAGGAACATTCTAGCGATGGGGAGGTGCACCGAGGCCGGGCTTCACATCCTGCTGGGAGGAAAGCACAGGGGTGAGACACCGCGGCGCGAGCGGGCAGCGCCTGGGGCCCCCGGCTGGCGGGGGCCGCGCGCCTCGGGCCGCGCAGCTCAGCGTGCGGAGCCGTGCCCGGACCGCTGTCGAGACGCCGCAGGAGAGCGTCCCTGTGCCGCCTGCCCGTGCTCACGGGACTCCACACCTGCCATGTCCCCTCCCCGCTCTGGCTCTGGGCCTCTCTCTTCTCTGCAAGAGAGCGGGTTTTATTTACCTCAAAAAGCTGCCCAAGTGCTAACGCGGTGAAGTCTGCACGCGCTTCTCTGCGGGTTAAAGGACAGGAGGACGCGGACCCCGGGCCGGCGAGAGGGACGTCGCGGGTCGGTTCATTCTTGGCGGGAGCAACGAGCCCCTGAGAGAAAACGCGACGCGGCCGTGAGCAACTCCGCAGTCACCTCCCCGAGCGTCTGTCAAGAGTCACTTTCTATTGAAAAACGTCAGGTGCACATGTGGGGGAGGAGCTCACAGAGCCATGTCACTGTTTTTGGCGAACGAGCACGCGAGGCGCCCCGAACACAGCCGCGCCGTTGCCCCCTGCGCCCCCCCCGGCCTCCGTGCCTCAGACCACACGTGGCTTCGTCGGCAGGACCACCGGGCCGGTCCTGGGAACACGGATGACAGCTGGTCATTTAGGAAAACACGAGACACACCAGACAAGTGTGAATTCCTGACACGTGTTCCTGACCTCCTGCTGCCCCAGAACTGGAACCAAAGCGGCCGGAGGCAGGAGCACAGCCTGGCAGCCGCTATGGAAACAGCGTGGCGTTCCACTCCCAAAACGGTGCCAAGCGGGCTGTCACTGCCCTGGGGACCCGAGGGGTGGGCGGGAACCGGCCTGGGGACCTGCTCAGCTTCCCACGCTGGCCTGGGAGCTCCCCTGCTGCCAGGCAAATTGTCTTGTCTGCGGGGCCCAGCCTCCCTGGGGAAGCGCGGCCCGGCCACCGAGGCAGACGTGCCTGACAGGTGCGACCGGCCATGACCCCGAGGGCCACTTGCTGCTGCTGACCCGCGCTCAGACAGTGGGACTCCAACGCCAAGGAGTTCCTTGCACTTACTCGAAACTTTCTTCAGGTCCAGGCGCCGAGTCTGGAGGGAGCTGCCAGTGGGGACACGTCGCGGGCGCGGGGTCTCCATCGCTGCGCCTGCCACCGTGGCGCCTCTGCCCGCTTTCGGTCCGGACGGCGCGCTGCCAGGGTAGAGGCAAGCACAGAGCCCCAGTTCAGAGGCTGGGGTTGCAGCTGGTGGGGTGTTTTTTGTTTTTTCTTTGTGAAAGAAACAGCATCAACGTATGGACTCGAAGCTAAATTTCAGAAGAGCTTACCCTGAGACCAACTAGAGTTAATCACAACCAGTTTACAACTACCTGAGCCACCTGTAGGTCCGACCCTGCAGCGGGGGGAAGGGAACATGGCTCCCGCGACAGCCCACGTACAACCTCTCCCACAGTGTCACGGCCACAGACTGGCGGGGACCCACAATGGGGCGGGGGGGGCCTCTTTCGCTGGCTGGGGACCTGCTTCACGTGGTCATTAATCAAGATTACAACATGACAAGGCGTCTGGTCTGCATGGGCCTGGGGGGTGGAGTCTGAATCAAGATCGTGATCTCCTTAAACAGAAATGCTACCTTAGAAACGGGCCCAGAGGCAGCCCAGACGCGCCAGGCTACATGGAGCAAAGCGTGGGGAGAAAAGCCGTGGCCTGTCCCCCCCGGGCATCCCCTGACAGTGGACAGAGCCTGGAGTCCCAGGAAGCAGTTTCCTGAGCTGTCAAACCACCCAGCGGTGGCGCAGGAATGAGGTTACAAGGGCAGAGGGCGTCTCCAGCGACAGCCCATGGCTTTGAAACAGTCACCTGCACCAATGAGTCCCGCCAGCCGACTGTAAGCTGAACTTGGGGCGAGCTGGGCTGAGACCGCTCGGCTGCCCATCGGCCTCCCTGCACCCGGAAGGCTCCCAGCCGGGGCCGAGGGCAGTTGTGAGGACGCCCAGCCCTGCACCCCAAAGCCAGGACTGAAGTGGTGGAGGCCCCGGACATCACCCAGCGTGGACACTTTCCTGCAGAACGGGCAGAAGCCGACGCAGCTTATTCTGGACAGTATGGCTCCCTGTACATCCTGTCCCAAACACACCACCAGCAGAGGTCCAGCCCCAGCGGTCACCTCCCAGGTGGGGCTACCCCAGGTTAGGAAGGGCACAGCAGGTCACCCTGAAGTGGGTGTGGGCCAGGATTCTGGCCCGCTGGCTAGAAGGTCAGACCTCACGACACTGCAGCATGGAGACCGAGGAGACCCCAGGCCGGCAGGCGAGGACTCACAGCTGACCCCGCCCTGCCCTTTGACCCCGAGCTCTCTGCCTAGGGGCATCGGTCCGCGCGCCTGGGCAGCGGCCCGGTCTTCAGCCACGAAGACACGTAAGTGCGAGCACCTCCCCGAGGGAAGGGTCAGGCCTCCGCGCAGCCTGCGCCCCGGGACTGCTTCTGGGGTCCGGGCGCCGGGGGCCAGCGGCCGGCGGGGCGTCCGTGGCCCTCCCGGAAGCCGCGCCGGGCAGGATTGCTCCTCCGAGGGGGCTGGGGGCGCCGGGCCCGCGGCCGAGCTCCCAGGGCGGGAGCGCCGCGCCAGCCGGAAGCTGCCCCGCGGGCCCTCACCTGCGCTTCACCTGGGTGCGCCCTTCTTCCCGCGCCCCGCCGGCTTCCAGGAGCGGGGGGCGCGCGGCGGGCCCGGCAGCGCGGAGGCGGGGCCGCGGGCTGCCTCCGGGGCCACGACCCCCGCCCGGGGCAGCACCAGCTCCCGGCGCCGGCTGAGCGCGCCCCCGCCCCGCGCGCCCTCCCCGGGGCCCGGCGCCGCGGTCCGCGGCCTGCCCCGCCGCCCTCCGGCCCCGGCCCCGGCCCCAGTGCTCACCTCCGCCCGGCCGCCCTGCCCCTCGCCCGGCGCCGGCCCGCCCGCGCCGCGTCCCAGGGGAGGAGCGGCGCGCGGGGGGGCGCGCGGGGGCGGCGGGGTCCCGCGTCCCGCCCCTCGGGCCGCGCGGAGGGGGCTGGGGCCGCCTTCTCCCCGCCGCCGCTCCCCACCCCCGCCCGGCGCCGAGGGACGCGCGGAGGGCGGGGCGCGCGGGGCGGGGCGATCCCGGGCGCCCCCTCCCCGAACCTACCGGCAGCGGCGGGAGCGGCGGCCGCGCTCCGGAAGCCGTGCCCGGTGGCTGGGCATCATGGGAATGGCACGGCCGAGTTCCGGGGGAGGCGCGCGGCCCGGCCGGACCCCCGCCCGGCGAGCGCGCGCCCACCTGCCGGCCGCTGCGGAGGCCTGGGGACGCCCCACCCGCCCCGCCCCGGACCGGTCCCGGAAAGGTCCTGGCGCTCTCGGTGAATTAATTGCTGGTGTAATGTCTGACCCCCACCCGGCCTTGTAGAGGCGGGGACCCCCGGCGGCTGTTGACCGCCCGGTTCCCCGGGGCTGCGCTAAGCTCTGGGAGTCGGGGAAGGCCGGCCCTCCCTTCCACCCAGAGTGGGGAGTGCAGGCTGGGAGGGTGGGCCGCAGGTGGGTGCACCGATTGCTACTTTACTCTGGGGGTCGTTCCTGTGACTGTCAGCTGCCGTGCCCCCAGAAGCTCCTGCGTGTCCAGTTTCCCCTGTGTGCCCTGCACCGCGCCTGCATCTCCTCCCTCCTTGGCCGAAGTTCCCTGCACAGGGCAGGTTAGCCTGGCCCCCCAGCCCTGGAAGCAGCTGCCTCTTTCTCTGTACAACCCGCCCCCCGCCGGCTGGCTGCTGCAGGGCAGGCTCTCTGGCCAGGCGGCTGCCCAGGCCTCCAGCTGCCTTCGCCTTTGGGTCGTGGCCCAGGAAGCTAGGCCGGCCGGGTTCCAGCCCTGTGTTTAATAGAAACCCAGAGCTTGACCCGGGAGAGCCGGCCACAGTCGCTCGAGGATTGCTCCTTGGGCACCGGGGAGTGTGTGGGTGCTGGAGGATGGGGCAGGGGCGGGGGTGTTGGGTGACCAGCTCCCCGAGTGTGCCTGCAGCCTGGTTCCAACATCCCTCCTGTCCTGGGCACCTGGCCTGTTTGGGAAGAGGGAGGGGAACACTTGGGTACCCACCCTGACTGAAGTCCGGCTCTGTTTCAGTCTCTTCGCTGAAGGCATGACCCGGAATGCCTTTCCACTTGGATTTTCCAAACAGGCGGGAGATCTCCGCCCAAGGCCCGTGGGGTCGCGGGTGCTGCTCAGGGCGCAGGGCGGGTGGCGATCAGGCCTGCTGGTGGAAGGGGCCAGGCAGAGCCAGACGCCCACGCTGTCCGTCTGTCCGTCCCTGCCGGCCTGCCTCCACGGCCCCGGCACTGGCGGATTTGGGGGTGAACTGGGGGATCATTTCCCGGCTTGAAAATGCCCGAGGTTTGAGAGGGTCAGTTGCCAGAGGCTTCGTGCCGGGGGGCGGGGAACACGAGAAGGGAGGTGCTTCCAGCCTCAGCCAGTCCGGACGTTGGCAGCCACGTGTCAGGCACCCCATGGTTTTAATGCTTCAGTGAGCTGTTTTGATAAGCAATATTTTCTTATTGTAAGAGTACTCTTCGTTACCCAGAATTTGGGAAAACGTAGCTAATTAATCACCCGACAACCCAGGAACACGGATGATCAATGTTTTGGCGTGCGCCCGTGGTTTTTAAGTGGTGCTGCGGCAACCCGCGAGGACATGTCCTGGAAGCGGCTGAGCGTGTCCTCAAGGTAAATGCCTAGAAGGGACACCTGGGGCCAAAGGCTTGGACATGATTCGCCAAGATGCCCTCCAGCAAGGCCTGGCCCGAGCTGTCCACCCACGGAGGCTGAGCCGGCCTGAGCGGCCGTTCTGTGCTGCCTCAGGCGCTCCCACGGGTGAACGGCCTTTTCTCCACCGGTAATTTCTGCTGGCGATGCTGAACCTCTTTCCATTGTACTACTGGCCACTAGGAAAATGGCCGGTCTGTGTTCTTGGCACGGTTTGTGCTTTCCTTCCGGCCTGTGTGTCTTGTCTTATCCGAGAGTTTTTTCTGCTAAGGATGCTAACCCATCTCCGCCACCCACTCATGTGCTGGCCACTTATTTTTCAGTTTCTCATTTTCCTTTTTGCTTGCTTTCTCGCGACGTGCACGTTTTCAGTGGGCTACGTAGGCACATCCATCAGGTTTTCCCCCACGGTTCCCGGCTTTGGGGCGAGGCCCAGGGCTACTCTCCCCACGCTGAGATGTCACGCGCGCTCACCGGTTTAACGGCTAAATTGCAAAGCAAGGGACCGACTTGTCTGTTTCCCTTGAAGGAGCTGATGACGCCTCCAGCTGAAGACGCATCTCCCAGGAGGAAGTGTGACGGTCCCCGGCGGGGGCGCTGGTGCACCCGCCCTGTCTGTGGAGGGCAGGGTGCTCGCCCACACTGTGACAGCCCCACCCGGAGGCCCTGTCCCGTTCCGTCTAGGCGGATCTCTGCAAAGACTGCGCTTCCCTCGTCAAAGCAACACCCCCGAAACCAGCGGCATGCGGGGCCCGTGAACTATGAGGGCCGCCCTGCGCTGCTGAGCCTCTGATGGATGGAGAGAAGGGGGGGGTTGTGCCCAGTGGAGCGGGTCCATGTAAAGTCTCATCCAGGTGTGCTTGCCACTGGGGGGGGGGTGGCCGGGCAGGTGACCCCCTGCCTGGCCCAGGGAGGCAGACACATTGTCCTGCTTGGGCCTGAGCAGCCATTACTGGGATTTCCTCTGGGGAGTCGCCTAGGGTGGGGGTGGGGCACCAGGCGATGTATTGTTGTTTTTATACTGTGTTAATTTTTTTAAAAAAGATTTTATTCATTTTTAGAGAGGGGAAGAGAGGGAGAAAGAAGGAGAGAAACATCGATGTGCAAGGAGAGAGACATCTATTGGTTGCCTCTCACCACCCTGCCCCGCCCCGCCCCCAACCTGGGGTCCTGGCCCGCGTCGGAGGCCTGTGCCCTGACTGGGAAGTAAACCCACGACCTTTTGGCTCTCAGGCTGGGGGCTCAATCCACTGAGCCACACCAGCCAGAGTGATACTGTTTCAATTTAAAAACATATATATATATGTTTACTGATTTTGGAGAGAGAAGATGGCAGAGGGAGAAAGAAAAACATCGACTGGCTATCTCCCATTCGTGCACCGACCTGAGGTTGAACCTGCGGCCTAGGTTTGTGCCCTGACTGGGACTCAAACCTCCCACCTTCCGGGTGCAGACTGGGTGCAGACTGCTCCAGCCAGCTGAGCCAGGCCGGCCGGTGCTCTGCTGTTTCAATTTTTAAAGTCATGACTATTGCTTTTTTAAAAAAAAACAAACAAACACTATTTATTTGTGATTAGAGAGAGGGGAAAGGAGGGAGAAAGAGAGGGGGAGAAACATCAGTCAGTTGCCTCTTGCACGCCCCCTACTAGGGACCTGGCCTGCAACCCAGGCACGTGCCCTGACTGGGAATTGAACCAGTGACCTGGTGACCTTTCAGTTTGCAGGATGACACCGGATCCACTGAGCCACACCAGCAGGGGCAGCATTGCTTTCAAATGTAAAAACATTAGCCTTCATGAAATACCTAATGGGAATGCGTAACTGTTAACGCATGCAAATGATGTCATGTGCATATTCTAACCAGAATCAGGTCCAAGGAACCACCAACTCTATTCAATCTTTGGAAATTCTATTTCTGTACGAGTTCTAAAATCTTTTCCCTCAGAAGGGAATTACAACAGCGTTACTCAGTTTTATTTCTCAAGTGTCAGATCTTAGAATTCCAGCGTGAATGTCGCCCAGTTTGCTACTTCCCGTTTCTGGGCACATTGTGACGTCACAGTTGATGCCACAGAAGGTGGCATCCTAAACTGAAGCGGAAAAGAAGCCTCTTGAGATGAAGTTACTTGGGAGGGCCCAGCGCTCGTCCACGTGAACCGCGGCCACGTTTCCTTAGGGTTATTCCAGAAGGAAGGGTATTTTCTATGTGAGATCTGAGAGAAAAACTACTGTATTTAGCCATGTATAATGTGCACTTTTTCCCTGAATTTTTGAGGGAAAAATAAGGATACATGTTATACGAGGGTCGTACTAATTCCACATCTACATAAATGTTTTTATTTTTCTAGTCTTTTTAAAAATTTATTTATTTTTAGACAGAGGGGAAGGGAAGGAAGGAGGGAGAGAAACATCAGTGCGTGGTTGCCTCTTGCCTGCACCCGACTGGGGACCTGGCCCGCAACCCAGGCCTGTGCCCTGACTGGGAATCGAACTGGTGACGCTTTGGTTTGTAGGCTGGTGCTCAGTCCACTGAGCCACACCAACCAGGGCAACATAAAAGTGTTTTTAATTCTCTTATTTGTGCATCTGTGTTAAAAGGGTAACTCTAGAAAGCAACAACGATGCATGCAAAAAAATATCCTGGAATATGATAATTGGTTTTGTTTCTAAATACAAATCAATAAAAAATTGAATTAAAACATTAAAACAAAAGACTTCTTACCCTGAAAGTTTGGGCCAAACACATGGGTGTGCATTTTACACGGGAGTGTGTTGTACACAGCAAAATAATGTACCTTCTTGCTCTGGTTCTTTGTAGAAAATACATTGGAAAAGGGTCCTTCTTGTTACCAGGCAACGTTTGGAAGTTTGCCCCTTTCCTTGCAGGGCCTGGTGGCACCGAGAGGTGGCCGGGATGGGGTTCCCCTTTGAAGGTTGGAAACAGAAAAGGCAAAAGCAGCAAGGGGCTGCAGAGCCTGAACGTCCTTGCCGCGGGCAGGCTCCGGGACAGGAGCCCGGCTTCGTCCCCCCCCCACCGGTGGGGCGAGAAGCGCGTGGCCTTAGCGAGCAGCACCCCCAGGACCGGGGACTGGGCGGAGGAGCTGGCTGTGACGAGGGGACAATGGGGGCCTCAGCTGAGGGCCCCTCAGATCGTCCCCGTTGAGGGGCGTGGCCGGGCCTGCGCCCCCTGCACGGAGGCCGCTGGGGGTGGGCTGCCCCC